CCCAAGTTTATTTATTTACTTAATCAAATTATTCGTACGAGAACTTATTTGGTTATTGCTTCAAATTTTGAATCAAATTACATTTAAATTCGAATACTTAAAATGTATTTACATCAATTTTTATTTTTTATTTATAGAAATTATAAATGGCGACCCTATCTATAGCAGCCAATTATATTCAGGGTTAGTAAATTTTTTTTTATTTTTCATTTTTTATTATAAAATTTGTAGCTAATTTTAGTTGATCAATAGTAAACGACTTATTATATAGTCACATGCTTAATTTTGATTGGCCAATCATATAGAACCTTTTTATTTATTATCTATTTTTTAAAATAAGATTAGAATCATTTTTTACTTAAAACACAAAAGTAGTTATATTAAGAAAATTATGCAGTATAGCTCTTTAAAATTTGCAATTTCTTATAACATAAAAATTAATTTTCTAAAGATCTATTTTTTTTGTCAATTTACCTCTTTTTTGCAGCACCAAGCTCATATGTAAAAACTTCAAAATTCAAGAAAAGTTTTGTTTGCTCGTTTAAATCTTTACCGTTTTTTTGAATAGGTATGAAATTTGATTCAATATTTTGAAGCCTTTTTTTTTGTCTTGAAAGATTATTAGACCTTTTAAGATTATTAAACGCCTAAAGCAATAATAATATATTTATTTAAATACAGTAACTAACAATAAAAAAAATTATATAAGTACGTAGATACTTATAACTAGTTTATCCTTATTTGTTTTATTTATCTTTTTTTTTGATATAGATAACGATAAGCTTAAAGTCTTGAAAGTTTCAGAAATTTTCTGATTTCATCAATTTCGGAAGTTTCAATTTTTTTGAAACTCAAACATAAAACCATTTTTAATTTTGAAAAATGTCATACATCGTGATTTATTAAAAAATTTGGATTCTTAATACATGATCGAATCGATAAGTTGCAAAAATCAGACAATAATTTTTGAACAGGGACTAGAGGTCGGAACCGGTTTAATGATTCGAGTTTATCACATTAACTTATCCAATTAAATTTTGAATATCCCAAAATTGATGTTTATCATATCAATTTATCCAATAAAATTTTGATAAATTGTGATAAACTTAAAATTATTAAAACCGGTTCCGACCTCTATCAGGGGAACTGAATATTCTGCCAACCCCATCACGTAACTTTTTTTATGTACTTATTTATATCAGACATATCTCTACTTAAAATAATGGGATACGTATCATTTCATCGACAATCGCTTCGCCGAACACCCCATCGCACAGAGCGATGGTTAATATTTAACGATTGTTTGATGATTAATAATTATTGTTCAATATTACTCATTACGCTGTGTGATAGGGTGTTTGGTGAAGTGATCGTCAATGAAATGATACGTATCCAAAATAATGCGTAAAATAAAGGATTCGTTCTAAATTAAGTACATGATGGTTATGTATACAGCAGGGGACTATAACTTATTTAGAGATGCAATCTAACCTCTGTAATTTACTATCATGTGATATTAATGTAATACAAATGCCAAGATGCTAACGAAGCTAATAACGCTAACAACTTTAATAGCATAAATAGCTTTAGAAGCTTTATTGAACACCTGTAAAATTAATAGCTTTAAATAGTACAGGAAATGCTTGGTAAAGCTAAATCGTACGAAAATGTACTAATAGAAAGAGAGCAAAAGATAATAATGATTCGAAATGTATAAATAGTCTCACTTCTTGCTCTTGTAAAAAGTCAGTTCAATACTCAACAAACTAATAAAGGAGTAATCGTGTCTTCATACATGAACAACTCGATTACTTTATTAAATAAACAATACAACTGACAATTCCTAAAGAGTAATCGTGTCTTAATACACGATACCGTGAATAATTAGTAAACAGTTATAGTGTCTTCCTACACGAATAACTTGGAGTATAATAATAAAGTTGTTATACGACTACTTGTATCTTCATATGGACAACCGTCAATAGAAATAAGGCAGATTGACATTTGAAAAAAAAATTTACCTTAACTTTTATAGCCTATATCTCGATGAATTTTGATATTATTTTGATGATTAAATATTCAAAAGAAAGCTTAGATCATAAGCTTTCTTTGACTATTAAATAATCAAGATAGCATCAAAATCCATCGAGATATAGGCTATAAAAGAAGGTAAATTTTTTTTCAAATGTCAATCTGCCTTATTTCTATTAACGGCTGCCCATATACATTTAGCCGTTTGCCTCTTTCATAACTGCAAATCACCCTAATCCTCTTAAAAGCGTAACTGCAATAACCCCTATCTTTTACTAAGCATAAATCGGTACAGACTATCAATCGAATATAACCGTCGCCAAAGTAAACCCATTAATTATACCGGCCTTATAAGAGGTAGCTCCGGGTGTAACAGTATCCTCCAGTTTTACTGTTGTCAATTTTATAACAAAATTAATTGTCCCGAGCGTAGCGGAAGATATTTAATGTTTAATCATTGTGATACAGAAATTACGCTTTTGATGTATCTATAGTTAAGTTTTGATTAAATTCATTAGTCATATCGTATTGTCGTATCAAAAATGCACATTAGTATAGCATATTTATGCGGTTGAATATCAGCCGATTTGAATATTTGTCGGTAAAATTTATTACAAAGTAAGTTTTTACAAAAATAGTCTTTTAAATTTACTTTGAATCCATAATTAAGTGTATAGAATATTGCAATATCTACATGTTTAATTATTAACTGAAAGCAAGTTAAAAAGGCGTTTTCCTCAAAAATTGCTTCCGAATTCACCCTTACCCATTCTACAACAGATCGTTCTCAATGACAAACCGATCGTTCACTACCAGAACATATCCGATCGCTTCAACAACTAGTGATAATGCTTTCTTTTACGGCTTAGTGTAGCTGTATTTTAGTATTTATTGCTTATATATCTAATATAGAGACTAAAAAAAATTTTTTATTGAATGTTTCGTTTGCTATTCTCACGTCACTTAGTGACAAAAGCTCGTGTAACTTTTCGTCGAAAAAAGACCCTAAAAATCAAATCGGCGGATATGGATAATGTGGTCGCACACATAATGCTATGCATTAACCTAGTACGTACATATAAAATTGTAAACCGTCCTGATATCCGTGAAATTTTAAATAGGAAAACAGATAGCTAATCGCATATCTACATCACGAGCTTTGAAGGTCCATATATTTCGTGATATTGTCGTGCTTGAAGTCGACATCTGCTTGAAGTTACCAATTTCGGGGAACTTATAAAACGGAGTAAATTCTTTATACGTAATATATTTTATTGAATTAGCTTTAAGGTTAGAGCCATCTTATTATATATAAGCAAATTACCTTACCGACATCTTTATTTCTTGTTTTGCTTCGCCGACGATCATCAAAATGCTAGAATTTGATTGGCCCGAATTCACGTGAAATTAGATCTTCCTTGCACGGTCAGCAATTTTAGGCAGTTTCAACTTCATTGAAGTTACAACTTCAAGCAGATGCTAAATACAAGCACGACAATATTACATAGATGATAATAGAGTCCAATTTCATATAAAATAGATTGTAGATCAACTTTGTGTAACTCATATTATGTGATATCCAGTGTTGGCAGCAATAGATGAATACAACAATAGAACAATAAAATAAAGAATAAAATTTAAAATAGAATAAAAATTTTGTCAATAGAACACAAAATTGTCAACAAAAGATATTAATCTAGAACAATAGAATAAAGCAACTGAAATTAGAATAGAATATAAATTTTTATCAATAGAACAAGAAATTGACAACACTGATGATATAATATAATTTGCATGTGAACATTGATTCGAACAGTCAAAATTAGCAATTCTTTGTACTACCTATGAAAAACATATAGAGTCTTAGGAAAATTTAATTATGATTTCTTTTTTAAAGCAATGCATATTGCGCAACTTCATAAACTGTAAACTGTTTAGACACATATTATATAAATTTTATACAAATTGGTTAAGATATTAAAAAGTTTATTAAAAGCATTTTTTTATTTAGTATATAAATTCAATATACCACGTACGTACGTAGATAATATGAAAAATGATCTCATAAAATATTCGTAAAAAATTATGTAAAATCGCATAAATTCATGTAGTTTTTTTACCTAGTAGTTTTATAGAAAAAAAGTTCGTGCTAGTTACATATAAAAACTAAAAAAAAGCAAAAGCCACGAGACCGATATTTTTTTGTTAACATTACTAAATGACCACAATAATTCAGTAAAAAACCAATGAACCACTTCTATAAACATTCTTCCATTCATTATTTATTCAGTAAGTTAGTTGTCAATGTATTAAATAGAATATATATAGTATAAACGTCAGCTAAATAATGTATTTTTATTAATTTCTAAAAGCTACATATAGTAAAATCTTATTAACCTTATTTGTAATAAAATTTTATTTCGCTTAAAGAATATTAAACTTCAATTATTTGATCATACTTAAATGCTTCATAATACATAATAAAAGTCTCGCAGAAAGATAAAGAATAATCAGAAATTTCGATAAAAATCATAAGCTTATAACCAAATACATTATCAGTTATACCAATACTTAAGCAGTGATTCTATTCATGATAAAGATGCTTATAACGAAAAAAGGTGAGTGAAATAGCAATTAATGTATTCGTAATAAAGATGCTTAGAATGAAAAAAGGTGTGTGAAATAGCAATTAAACTAGAAACAAAATCTAATTAAATAATTTTGGTTTATTCTAACATTTCATCTAATTTAAATCTATAATGAAATTAACTTGTAACGAGAAAAGAATAATTGTAATGAGAAATAATATTTGTGTTTGCAATGAATAAAGCTTATAAAAAAAAAACGAAAAAAAACATACAACTACTCATATGAAAGAAAAAAAGAAGCCATTCTAAAAATTTTGTTTAATCTTTCGGCCAATCGACTAATAGTGAAAAAAAGAAATAAATTAAACCAATTGTCAGAAGCTATTCAGGCAAATAAATTGGGAATATACTAGAAAAACCACCGTTTAAAACTTGCTTTCAAGTAGGGTTTCCCTAGTCCATTCCCCAAATACGTACACAAGTTTTGGGAAGCTTCGATAGCCTCATCATAAGGGTTAATGTAAAGATGTAGAATTTCGGAATAGAAGGAACCGTATAAATCGTTAGTTGAAAAGGAAGATCTATTTTGATCATTAGTTGGCATTATTTGTTCATTATGAAAATATGACGAGGGTTGAATATTCTGGAGATTTTCAGTAGTCTCAATAGTCTCAGTAGTTTCATAAACGTTAATATTAGTAACAGTAGTATAATTATAAGGATGTGGGAAAGAATCACTAGTTGAAAACGAATTAGGAGTGGATGTGATGTTTTGGCTATCATTTGGCATTCGTTCATCGTAAATGACAGAGGGAGAATGGTTGGTAATGAGCGCCTTTTGGTAGGCTTTAGCGATAGACTTCGGACCGCGTTTATTTCCCGGGGTAAAAATACAAAGCCAATTTCGTTTATTACAGATTGTACATTTCTTTTCTCCAGAAGGTACATTGCATTTTTCGTGTCGTTCTCGACAATTTATACACGCTACAGTTGCATTCTTACGTTTTTTTTTTGTGACATTATTTTACGCGCGCAAAACTTAAGATTTGAAAACGAAGTATAGGTGAAAAAAAGCGGGAATTTATCTTAAAATATGCTTTAATTATTCGCTGATAATATTATTCGCTGCCAGCTTTGTTAATGTTCTTTAATACATATGTATCCTAGAGGTACAATTAATTAAATGAATTTAATTCGTGCCAATCAAACAAAAGATTATTAAATTATTAATCAAGATTCGTATATGCACTTACTTTCAATTCGTTTCGCGTTACTAATACATTGATATAACTAGCATATACTTATTAATGTGTAGGTCAACCACTCAGACTCATGATATTTGTATTATATCACTGGTTCATAAATTACAACTTTAGTTCTTTGTATATATTTCAGAGATAAACCTAATACATATTTCACATATATTCCCGAAAAAACCTGCATACCGTATTGTCTCGAAATAACGCCCAGGGTGCAGGTTAAAATTTTGGCCCGGATAAATCGTAATTCGGCCTAAATTAAGCTTAATTCGGGCCAAAGTTTTAACCTACACCCGGGCGTTATTTCGAGACAATACGGTAAATTCAAATATAATTGCTATTTATAAAGAATTTAATCAAAAAAATTATATATAAAAAATTTTGATCTCATATAATGTGAAATGGCACTATCGATCATTGCTGATTTTAGCAAATTCGAAAAAAAAACATTGAGAAACCAAAAAAATCGTAAATAACTCGAGATTTCAATATGATAACCAACAGTTTGATTTCTAAATAAAAGTTTTTAGCACGAAATTTTAATTATATGAGTACATTTAAATATCAAATATCGAGTAAATTAAAGCTTGTGCTTAATTCTAATCTTAATGCTCTTTCGATTTGGTGATCGACATAACCTGTCACAGATTTCAGACGTGCCTTCATGCAGACTATAAAATTTAGAGTTTAGCCAATTATAGGGTTTTGTATTGCTTTAATTTTCCCTTTGTTCATGCAGGTGGTGCATCTGGTTGGTCGATCGGAAAAATAATTAAGATTTGACAACCCTCAATCATATGGTCAACTTCTGCCTGTATTGTTACTATCTCGAAACTGTATGTGACTATTACGGTAGTTGAATGTCTTACAGTTTCATACCCAATTATATAAATCTCAAACTTTGTCCCCTTTGTATATGTACAGAGATTACATATTAATTTTGATTATAAAAGGAATTTATCAAAAAGTATTTTTATAAATGATAAATTACAAATGATAATTACAAATTGCATAGATATTATTAAACTTGATCGGCGCGAGATATGACATAGAGTGTTACGGGTTAACCTTCCGAAGTCCATCTTTCTGGCATACCATTTTGCCGAAGTTGTAATACCGATAATCCATTTTATTAACAGGACATAAATAGATCTGTCATTTCACCAAAAATCAATTCACCGACAAGGTAAATATGTCTCTGACGATAAAAATCTGTACCTTTTATGCTCTAACCAAAAAATTATTCATAATTATTGTGCTACTTTAAATATTTGGAGCAGCTACTCCGGATGCAACATGTGCATTTGTAAATATGTCTCTGATGCAAGAATCCTGTACACAATTGCTTGACCTAACTTATTATGGAAAGTTCAAAGAGTGGCTTCAGTTATAGCATAATAATAACTTTAATTAACAAATTTAGGAATTTAAATCTCATTATTTATTAATAGTATAATTGTATGCTTGCCAATATTAAAAGGAATTTATTTAATGAAATTTTTAAATTCTAGAAATTTTTTATCGATATCACATTACATATGAGCTCTTTCAGAATCTTCACCAATAAACCAAATTATAAGATTTTTGTGAACCATGAGGTTCTCCATTAAAATGTCTACTTGAAACAAAGACAATATTACGGTACAATTTCAATAAATTTAATACGAGTGTTAGAAAAGGAAAACCCATAAATTTGTCCGTGAAGAATCCATTCTATGACCATATAATTTTTCCGTAAAAAAAAGTTTTTTCTGGTTGATGACTAACTTACATTTTATCGATTAACTTCACGCCTATCGGTATTTGATTACAAATATTGCAGGATTAAATCTACAGGTACTAATCTGACAAAGTTGGTCAACTTGTATATTTATCTTTTTGTCACTCATTATTAAAAGAAAGCCATCCTTATCTTGATTTTACTAAGAATAGATTTATATAGTACCAGACAGTAAAAACATCCAATACTTTATGTATATTTTATAAGAATGTTATCAATAACTCAAATATATATATATATAACTAATTTAGCAAAAAAATAATTAATAGATTTGCTGTACTGCATTTTTTTTTTTAATTTAAGAAAATTATTTTTAGCTTTAAAGTTTATACGTATATATTTTGAAAATTTGATGCCTAACATATTAAGAAACGTTATTATCTTTATCAACCAATCAAATTTAATTCTATAAAAATCAACCAATCATAATTGATTATATAATTTTAAATTAAAAAATATCGGTTGTTTTGTTATCGATATTAGGGATCTACAAACCCGGTGCTTAACAAAAGGCATGGGCATGGCACAAAGTATTAGGCATATAATTAGGTACTTTGTGTTATAAGCATGAGAGATCTATTCTAAATTATTAGGCACTAGAGCACAAAGTGCCTGCCTAGAACTTTACATGAGTGCTTACAAAATGCCTGGAACTTTTGTGTCAAGCAAACTCAGAAGCACTAGTGCCGAGTATGATACCTAATATGCCGTCATGGCATTTGCGGATTTCTAATCGCCAACCTACGGATCATATCTATGTATTTTTTTGATGTTAAATATATGGGATCTGGTCTTAGACTAATGGACCACAGTTAGTCTTAAGACTAGTCTGAACCTGAAAAAAATTGGTTCGCTCTTAGTCTTAAGACTAGGTCAACCTGGACAAAACCCTAATATTGTAAGCCATAATAGACCGGGACTAGACCAGTCTGAACCTAAAAAAATTGGTTCGGTCTTAGTCTTAAGACTAGACCAGTCTGCAGTCTGGACTAACAAAGTCCTAATACTGTAAGCCATAATAGACCAAACTGGGACCAAACCGGGACTAGACTAAAATAGACCAGACTGGTCTACTAACATCCCTACTTCGAATTACTATTTTATTATTGTATTTATTACGTGTCAACCACATGATACACCTATCAAACCAAACCAACATCTATAAAATTAATATAATTATCACGTAAACTTATATTAATCCCAAATATATAGGTAATTATGTTTGAATCTAGACCAAAATGTTATTACGTAATATATAAAATTGGTCCGGGTTCAAAAATAATTGCTCATATTGATGGTTTTACTAATTTCTCACCACTTCTGATTGGTTCTACTAATTATTCACATATCAGTGTATCTATGTTATTAATCAATTTTATAATATGCTTGTAGTGAGGTGGTGAGAGAAACTAGTAAATCCCATATTGATTAGGTTACATAAATTATAATTTTACATTGGGGAATCTCTATTTGTATACGGGCAAAATAAAAACCAACCAATATCTCAAAATTTTGATTATGAAACCACCTTTCGGCTTTTAACAAAAAAAATTCTTGTGCAATTTTGGTATAAGCTATATCTCGCCCAATCCCAAACAGCCTTACTCTAACTACAAGCAAGAATTTAATTTTTCGGTTGTAAAAATTGGTTTGATGCCATGTTATACGAAGTTATAATTCAATAAATTATACCCATGTATAAACACTACATGTAAACTAATAAATTTTCTTTACATTATATGTAATTTTATGTAAGTTTCAGAAAATTAAATTTTATGTAATTTTCACCATTTCATACATAAAGTACCAGATTCATTAAAGTTTAGCCAGTAGTATTGCATCATTTGATTTAAATGTACGATTCGAATTGTAGCTTCTAAATCGCCGAAAACTTAATCTCAGAAACTATCATTTGTTCAAAATTACACCCTAATATTGTTAAAATATTTTAAAATATCGTAGCTAAGCACTCGAAAATGTTTACTGGGTTTGCACCTGAACTACGAATCGGATTTCAAGATTACATGTAACGTAACACGATAAGTAAGGTTCAATACGTTCGTTCTGCCAAAAATCGCTCATAACTCAAAAATCACTATTACGACTATCTTTCTCTAACTCCTAACCCTGATTCTAACACTAACCTTAACGAATTTTAAAGAATTTTGTCTGGGTACACATTTTCCGAGTGCACAAGATTGAATATATGATTGATAGGCTATTTAGAATCTCCGAATTTTCTCATCGTTATCACGAAAATTGTGGGATTACACTTTTTTTGCAAAGCATCATTGATCATCAATGATAGTAAAATTTTATTTTATCTTACCTCACAAAAATATTGGAACAACGGTACTGTTCTTGATTGGATGAAAAAACATCGATCGATTCCTGATTTAGTCTTAAAAAAGTGTCTCAAATACTATTAGTATATCAGATATGAAGATGAGAATACGTTAATATATTTTTTTTATCCGATATTTCATATGATCACGTAAATTTTTTTGCAGTGGTATTTATTGCATGAAATTACGGAAAAAACTTCACATGGTCATATTAACTATCGGATAACATCAATATTAGTAGGGGTGTTAAGTCGTTCTTATGAACCCGGTCTGGAAGTAGTCTGGTCCTAATCTCCGAAAAAACTACTGTAATCTAATTTAAATTAGTGGTTCATAACTAGTGTTATTCGGCTAAGTCACGTGACACGTGACACGGCTAACCAAATAAGGGTAACCTGGCTAGAAA